CCGCCTGAGACTTCCTCACAATTCACTCACAGACGAGGCTCCTGCTTGATGCTTCCTCCATATTCAAGCTAGGGAGTGATTGTTGACGAAGTGATAAGTGACTCAGTGATTGTTGACGAAGTACGAGGTGATGAATGACTGGGTGATGATGATGATCAGTGAGTGAATGTGTGAGTGAGGAAAAGAAGTGATGATGATGATGATGATGATGATGATGATGATGATGATGATGATGATGATGATTATGACGATGTTGAGTGTGATGAGTGAGGAGAAGAGTGAGTGCGAATGAGTGAGTGCGTGTGTGTGCGTGCGTGTGTGAGGAGGATATGTGATGATGATGATGTTTGCGATGATATGTGAGTGCATGTGTGAGTGAGGAGGGGATGCGACGATGAATGATGATGATGAGTGTAATGAGTGAGAAGGAGAGGGGTGAGGAGATCCTGCGCGGAGGGTGTGCTTAGAAACCAAGAACCACACTTAGGATGTGGGGAACAACAAAACCAAGCCGAAGTCTTGCAAAACAGCGTTTAGGTCCAGCCCTGACGCAGCATCTCGCGGCGGCGGCCAGCCAGCAGCAAAAGGATCACGAGACCGCTCTCACCGCCAGAGTTTAAGACGGCAGAGAACCCCCGTAATCATCACCCCGACGCGCGAAGCCGTTTACGAAGCGCACCCCCACAGAAGGACTCGAAGCGGGCAGGGCTTTTTCGTGAACGCCCAGGGCCGCTTGGAAAACGCCAGTGATCGGGTCCGGGTGATATTTTCCTCCCTTGGGAGATACAAGTAAGTGCACCTCCCTGCATCGGCTACAGGAACGATCAGCACCGCCGATCGACAGTCACGCCGCATTTCGCGGCGTCGACCAGCCAGCAGCAGAGGGATCGCGAGATCACTCCCACCACGAGCATTCGAGGGCAGAAGACCCATCCGCAAAATAATCAACCCGACATGCGAGGCCGTATCGAAAGCGCACCCACAAAAGGAACCGAACAGGGCAGGGCTGTCAAATAAACGACTGGGGCCGTTAAGCAAACGCCACTTATCTGGCCCGGGTGGTCTCTCTTCCCTTGAGAGGCACACGTGCTCCCTCCCTGCAGCGGCTACAGGATTGACCAGCCCCGCCGATCGACATGACACGAAGATTCTCGCATCGACGACCGGCCAGCAGCAGAGGGATCGCGAGACCACTCCCACCGCCAGAATTAGAGGGTAGAAAAACCACTTAAGAATCCCCCCGACACGCGAAGCCGCTTAGTCCACGCACCCGCAGAAGATATCAAAGAGGGCAAGGCTGCTTAGTAAACGTCCAGGGCCGCTGAGCAGACGCCAGGTATCGGGCGCGGGTCGAGCTTCCCTCCCTTAACAGACAAAAGTGCTCCCTCCCTGCAGAGCGGCTACAGGAAGGATCAGCCCCACCGATCGACAGTCATGCAGCATCGCGCGGCGTCGACCAGCCGGCAGCAGAGGGATCGCGAGACCACTCCCACCGCCAACATTCGAGGGCAAAACATCCACCCGCATAGTGATCAACCCGACACGTGAAGCCGCCTCGTAATCGCACCAACAGAAGGAATCGAACAGGGCAGGGCTGTGTTGTTGTAAACGCCAAGGGCCGCTTGGGAAACGCCAGTGATCGGGTCCGAGTGGTCTTCTCCTCCCTTGAAAGATACAAAGGCGCCCTCCCTGCATAGGCTACAGGAAGGACCAGCCTCGCCGATCGACATACCACAACGCATCTCGCGGCGGCGACCAGCCAGCAGCAGAGGGATCACGAGACCGCTCTCACCGCCAGAGTTTAAGAGGGCAGAGAACCCCTTAAATGATCACCCCGACACGCGAGGCCGTATCGGAAGCGCATTCGCCAAAGGAATCGAAAAGGGCAGAGCTGTCTAGTAAATGCCCAGGGTCGCTGACCAAACGCCGCTTATTGGGTCCGGGTGGTATGTTTCCTCCCCCGAAAGGTTCAAGTGCACCCTCTCTGCAGCGGCTACATGAACGATCAGCCCCGCAAATCGACATGTCACGCAGCATCACGCGGCGGCGTCCAGCCAGCAGCAAAGGGATCGCGAGACCACTCCCTTGCAAAACTATCGAAACCCCAAGAAGCCCAGGGCAGCCTGGAGGCGAGCAGGGTGTTTTTGGGCATGGGTCTCCACTGTACCAGTGCTCCAGCATCGAGCCAACCAGCTGGCACTCTCCCTCTTGCACCAGCACTACCGTAGGTAGGAGAGGGAGGAGGAAGAGGAGGAGGAGGAAGAGGAAGAAGAGGAGGAGGAGGAGGAGGAGGAGGAGGCACACCAGTGTTGGCCCCTCCCTCCCTTCCCTCGGGTCCGAGCACAGTTGGCAGCTGTCCCTTTGCCCGCCCTACCCGGGCCCCTGCGGGGGATGCCCCAGGGCGGAGCCGTTCCAACCACCTGGTCGTCGAGGTGCGCAGGCCCACGCGTGCTCAAAACCAGTGCCGCCCCCCCTCTCGCTGCGGAGCGCAGACGGGCCCCACAGCGGCCTGCTCGCCGCCTCGGTGCGGGGGCGCACACGGGCCCCGCCACGGCCTGCTCACCGCCGCCCGCCGCTTCTTCTCCAGACGGGTCTCCCTGTGACCGCGCCAGAGGGCCGCGACGTGCGCGCGAGCTTCCCGGCGCAAGGTGGAGCAGGCGGTCTGCGACGTAGGCGGAGGTGGAGCTGGAGGCTGGCTGAAGCAGATTGCTGAGGGAGACCGCTCCCTCTCCATGCTCTCCTGCTCGCCCCTCCCTCGTTCGCTCCACCCCTCCCTCTCTCGCTTCCGCCTCCTCCCGCCAACTCGGTCCCTCCTCCCTCGTGCTTCTTCCCGGCTCGCTGCTCTCTCATCCCTCCCCCCCCCCCCCCCGCTCGCCCCCTGGGAACGAGTGTGGGTGTGGCAGGCCAGGGATAGCATGGTGGATGGAGCGAGGGAGACGGGGTGGATGGTGGGAGGGTCAGGGTGCCAGGACTGGCGAGGGCAAGGAAGAGTAGTGGGAGGGGAGCGGGGGGGGGGAAAGTGAGAAGTGTAAAGGGAGGCTGAGGTCGTCGTCCTGCTCCTCCTCACCATCTTCTTCGTCCTTCTTCTGCCCGTGATCCCGACACTGCCTCCATGTCCTTCCGCTGTGCTGCTCATTCATGCCCTCCTCCTGGCGCTCCTCATCCTACTCCTGCTCCCCCTCGTCATCGTCCTCCTCCTCCATCCTCTCTCCTCTCTCCTCCTCCTCCTCCTCCTCCTCCTCCTCCTCCTCCTCCTCCTCCTCCTCCTCCTCCTCCTCATCATCATCATCATCATCATCATCATCATCATCATCATCATCATCATCATCATCATCATTATTTTCCTCTTCCTCCTCCATCTCCTCCTCCTGCTCCTCCTCCACTTCCTTCTCCTCCCGTTCCCCCTCCTCCCCCCCCTCTCCTCCCCCTTTCCACCCACCGCCCATCTCATCTCCCCCTGTGGAGCTCTTCTGCTCCACTCCTTCGGCCCCTTCGTTCCCTCCCGTGCCCGTGCCTCTGCTCCCATCCCCCCCCCCCTGGGTGCTCCCCTGGCTGCCGGCTCCCGCGACGGTGCCCCTGCTCCTGCTCCCCGCCCCTCCCTCCCAAGCAGCACGAGCCAAGGCCGCGCTAACGGCGGTGTTGGGAACCTGGTTTCTGCAACACCGAGCTCGCGCAGAACACATTGTACGAAATCACGGCGCACACTTTCCTGCACTTCAACTGTGCGAAGGTATCGAGCGAGTACGACGCAGGGACTTGCAGGAAAGCGCGAACCACGATGTCCTACAATTGGTTTGGCCACGAGGCACTCCCATCTACAATGCCGAAACCTACATCGCCGTTACCTGCATCGCCGTTAGCGCGTTTACGGTCTTCGCCCCTCCCTCCCAGGCAGCACGAAGGTAGGCTTCTGTACCAGCCTCGATCTTACAGCAGGGGCTCGTCCACAAGGAACCTGCCACGGGAAACACGACCCTGAGACCCCAGGGCGTCCACTGATGTTTGGTGCGGGCACGTCACGCTTTCCACAACAAAACCGTCGGGACCCGAGTAATCCAGGGCACCCGGGAGGCAAACAGGGTGTTTCTTGGCATGGATCTCCACTGGAGCCGCACCCTCAAGATCGACAAGCCTGAGGCGATAGCGGTCCTAGGGATGTGCCCTCAGCACCTGAGGGGACCCTCAAGAGCGGCACCGAATGAAGGTGATGCCAAGCACGGGACGCACAAGGACACACCAGTACTGGGTGTCCTCCTCGGAGGCGTGCGTCCGCCAAGAACACATAGTATTAAACTATTGTGGTATATCGTTTACCAGGCGGTATGGCTAGAAAGCGTCAGCAACGGAGCTTCTACTATAAGATTTCTCGGCGCGCGCATAGCTCGGGGGCGACGCACACATAATATCAGTACATCCCCAGGCAGACAATTCTTCCTCTGGGACTAAACATATGAAAACACCGGTGGATCCAATTGAACCCTGTTTTTTTCGGGTGTGCGACAGTGTTATGGACGCTATTTCTGTCTTGCGCGGATCCGATTTCCCGCGTGCGAAAAGCCAATGGCTAACATCCCGGACCCAGGGGAAATGGGATCCGCGGGGCACCACACGTGAAGCATCATGCTATCCACGGAACTGCGGATGAGCTGACTAAATCTATGACTCCACGGGGAAATGGGGTCTTCCTAGGACGGAGGGGGGAAGGAGGAGGGAGGAAGCACGGATCCGAAGAGAGCGCTACATGTATCCGCTCACCTGAACGGCACGTCGCTTCCGACATTTGGGGCTCAAGAGGAACCTCAAGCAGATTGGGGCGATGCCGGGAACATCGGGATCAGGATCGGGCCAAAGCTGGTGTGCTCTGCCGTCGCTCGCCGACTGCTCCTGCTCGCTCTACGTGGCCGCCCTCCACACCTTCCCCCCCCGCCCACAAGCCGCCCTCTGAACTGGGGGGCATGGGCCTCGAGAAAACTCGACGCCGACGCGGCCCGCGATCTTTTTTGCACCCCGACAAAGAACCACCGTAAAGTAATCCTCAGAATGCTGCCAGCGCTGGCAAACGACACCGCGTTGCAAGCGACAGTTCTCCCGGACGAAGCTGCGTCAGGATTGCGGCGTGTGGTCTCGCTGCGCTTCTGCACATACAGGCCGACACAGCCCGCCGGGGCTTCGGGCAAGGCGAGGCGCGGGAAGCCGTTGAGCAGGGACCGACCGTCCCGACATTCCGTCAGGCCTACCAGGACATGCTCTCAGAACCAAGGGAGTCTCCCACGAACAGAAGCCAGGTCCCCAGAACTTGCACCAGCCTCAGCCAGAAGCGCCCCAAGAACAGCTCGTGCAAACCCCCGAGCGGCCCTTGGAGCCTTCCTTGCTGGGCCTCTGGGCAGGCCGGGGCGCCTCGCCGCTGCTGAATGCCAGCGCCACACGCGGCCAGCGACTCGCCACTGCTGCACCCCGTGCCTTGCCGTCGCTCGGACGTCCATTTCCCGTGCATCTGTCGGTTTCGTGCGTGCTTTTGCTTGCTCGATGGTCCAGGAGGATCCTCGATGGCCCCTGCCGAGGAAAAAAATGCACATGCCCGAGCGATGCCAAGGTGCCGCACGAGGCCCGCCTCGCCCGAGCCGCCGCTCCGCCCCGAATCAAGGGGCCTAAGGATACACAAATAAATACACACAAATAACAGGATTCCCCATATTTTCCTGTATTTGACTGGTTTTTGTCTTCCCCCCCACTCCCCATAATTTCCCGTATTCTCTAGGAAATCGACGATTAATTCTGTCTGTGTGTTTTTTCTCCTCCTGACCGAAGCCCGCCTCGCCCGAGGCGGAAAGACTGGTCTACTCTGTAAGAACGGTTTTTTGAAGGCAGATCTGCCTTCAAACAATTGTTCTTTGAAGGCAGATCTGCCTTCAAAAAACCCTTCTTACAGAGTAGACCAGTCTTTCCTCCCCCGAGGCCCGGCCCGCGGGGGCCTCGGGCGGGGCGGCCCAGCCCCGCCGCCGGGCAGGCGCCCCGCCCAGGGGGGCCCTCGCGGCCGTGCCCGCCCCGCGGCAGCGGCGCTCAGACGTCGTCGTCGTCGTCGCCGCCGGGCTTGCCCGCGGGCGGCTCGGGGTCCGCGGGGCCCCAGATGTACTCCAGCTCCTCGCCAGGTGCGCGCCCTCTCCTCCCGAGGCCTCGCCCTTCTCCTCCTCCCTGCCCTCTTCCCTCCCTCCCTTCCCCTCCTTTCCCATCCCTCCTTCGCCTCCCCGTGCTCCTCCCCGTGCTCCTCTTCTTGACACCCTCCACCTCCACCTCGCACGGCCTGGAACCGCCCGAGACAGTGCACCCTCCCCTCCCGCCCTCCCTCGCGCTGCCTGCCCCGCCCTCGTTGCGACCGCCGGCCCGATCGCCCCCCTTCTTTATGAAGTACCGCACCACATCTAGCTGGTGGGGAATGTGGCGGAAGCCGGGGGACCTCCGATGGATGATACAGGCGGTGTTTGTAAAACGGCAGACGACCACCACCCTCTGAGCCCCAGCGCTTCCCTTACAACCGCACACCAATGTCGAACTGACCAACAACCACCGACACACAAACCCTATCAGATCATCATCATAACCCCATGCACACTGTACTGTTGCTGCCCGCCTCCAAACATAAAAGTCCGCCACCTTGCTGGCAGCGGTTGGTTTGTTTGCTACTGTCTGTTCTGAAGCTGTAGCGAAGGTCCCCGAAGCATGGATCCCAAAATGCATTCGCTATAAAATCAAACCTCCAGAGGCGCCTTGCATATGTATGAATGCGTGTGTCTATTTATATATATATACACACATGTATATATATATATACACTTATATATAAATGTATAGAAACATGTGTACGCAAAAGCAGATCACACTTGTTTACGTCGCAGCGCGGCGAAAAGCTAACTGAGCGCCCAGGATAAAAATGTCGCACCTTTCCCCTTCTATTGTTTTAATCCCGGTTCTATGAGATTTACGTGTGGAGGGGGCGCGAATTGATAATCCACGGGGGAAGTTGCAAATCGAAGTTGCTAGCATATTATGTTGACTAGCAACAACACCAAAAACGCTGAGCACGGCAATGGTGGTCTCACAATTTCAGTTTCCGCAATCACGAGCGCGTGGCAGGGTGATGGGGTTCTCACCATTTCACTTGTCCCAAGTCACGAAAGTGCGGCAGGGGGATTCTTCCTCCTCTCCCTTCTCACCCTCCTCCTCTTGTCCCCCCCCAGGCCCCGAACTTGTTTATCCCGGGGTTCTTTTTATCCCCAGAAGGTGCCCACCATGGACACCCCCACATGCGATATTGAAAACGACTCAACATACTTAGTTTTTACACACACACAAAACTTATCCTGGCGAAGGACCCAACCATATGCAGTTGTGAGTATCGCAATTGTGAGTATCTTCTTCGGTGGCGCTCCCTATGGGGCCACGAACCGCATGAGGGGTGTGCCGAAACGTGGCGGGGTACACAACGCAAAGGAATACGATAGATCTGATTACGAGAGAAAGAACGCGGGTGAGTCAGAGCGCGTGGGAATCTGAGTATGAATGGGTCTGCGCGCGAGTGAATATATTTGCATGAATGCGATCATGGAACCGCCTAGTGTAAGTGTCGAGCATGCCTGTCCGAACACACGTGACACTGGGCGTGGCCGCCGCAGGCAGCTTCCGCGGGAACCCCGACGGCAGCGTCCGCACGTCGCGACGCCCATGTCGGCACGCCTCTTGCGAGGATCGCGCCCGCTTTCGGCTCTTCTTTTCCTTCCTCTTTGCCCGCGCACTCCAAAATCCAAGGCTGCGGGCGCAGCGCAGCGCGGAGTCCCCGCGACGCGCGCCGGTCGCCCCGGGCGGGGTCCCAGCGACGCGCGCGGGTCGTCCGCTGCGCGAAGCAGAGAGAGCTGACTAGCTAACTGGCTGGCTGATAGCGGGCAAGTCTCTGACCGCTGGGCAGAGCGACGACGGGCGAACGAGGCGCCGGGCCCCCCGCAGCACGGAGTTCCCGCGACGCGCGCTGGTCGCCCCGAGAGGGTCCCAGCGACGCGCGCGGGTCGTCCGCGGCGCGAGGCCAAACAATTAGTCGGGCAGTCGAGAGAAGGCGCGGCTCGGGGGAGACGCTCCTCAGGTCAGGCCTCGCGGATGAACTCGGTGAAGCCGAGCTCCCTGGCGAGGGCCGTCGCTTCCCTCCTGCACCGCTTCGTGCGCGCCGCAAACTGCTCCAGCTGCTTCCGCAAGCCCTGCGGCGGCCCTGCCAGGAAGAACTCGATGCGCGGCGCCCGCATGAGCAGGAGGTCCTCGTGGCGCGTGGCGCGCGAGAGCAGCACGTAGAGCTCCAGCCACCAGTCGTCGTCCTCCTTCTTGCCGTTCCCTACCTCGTGGCGGCCGCAATCCAGGATCACGCCTGGGCGACGTCGACCGAGGGAGCAGCGCGCCGGGCAGCCGACGGCCCAGGGCGAGAGTCCACAGGACCGAGAGATGGTCTGGCCGCGGACTGCTCGCGCCCCGGAGGTCTGGCCGCCCCCGGAGCGCCGTTCCCCCGCCCCGTCGCCTTCGCGCATGGTGCGCCCCTGGCACGCCACCGTGGTGATGACCCTGCCGTGCGAGAAATGCGGGGGGTGTGCCGAAATGGGTGGGGGTGACGCATGCGGGCGGCGGCACTGAGGCCTTCGGTGGAGCTCCCTATGGAGCCACGAAACGTGTGAGGGGTGTGCCGAAATGGGTGTGGGGGACGCATGCGGCCGCGGGCACTGGGGCCTTCGGTGGAGCTCCCTATGGAGCCACGAAACGTGTGAGGGGTGTGCCGAAATGGGTGTGGGGGACGCATGCGGCCGCGGGCACTGGGGCCTTCGGTGGAGCTCCCTATGGAGCCACGAAACGTGTGAGGGGTGTGCCGAAATGGGTGTGGGGGACGCATGCGGCCGCGGGCACTGGGGCCTTCGGTGGAGCTCCCTATGGAGCCACGAAACGTGTGAGGGGTGTGCCGAAATGGGTGTGGGGGACGCATGCGGCCGCGGGCACTGGGGCCTTCGGTGGAGCTCCCTATGGAGCCACGAAACGTGTGAGGGGTGTGCCGAAATGGGTGTGGGGGACGCATGCGGCCGCGGGCACTGGGGCCTTCGGTGGAGCTCCCTATGGAGCCACGAAACGTGTGAGGGGTGTGCCGAAATGGGTGTGGGGGACGCATGCGGCCGCGGGCACTGGGGCCTTCGGTGGAGCTCCCTATGGAGCCACGAAACGTGTGAGGGGTGTGCCGAAATGGGTGTGGGGGACGCATGCGGCCGCGGGCACTGGGGCCTTCGGTGGAGCTCCCTATGGAGCCACGAAACGTGTGAGGGGTGTGCCGAAATGGGTGTGGGGGACGCATGCGGCCGCGGGCACTGGGGCCTTCGGTGGAGCTCCCTATGGAGCCACGAAACGTGTGAGGGGTGTGCCGAAATGGGTGTGGGGACGCATGCGGCCGCGGGCACTGGGGCCTTCGGTGGAGCTCCCTATGGAGCCACGAAACGTGTGAGGGGTGTGCCGAAATGGGTGTGGGGGACGCATGCGGCCGCGGGCACTGGGGCCTTCGGTGGAGCTCCCTATGGAGCCACGAAACTGTGTGAGGGGTGTGCCGAAATGGGTGTGGGTGACGCATGCGGCCGCGGGCTGGGGCCTTCGGTGGAGCTCCTATGGAGCCACGAAACTGCGGGGAGCTCCCTATGACGCACGCGCACTGGGGCGGTGGAGGGGTGTGAGGGGTGTGCCGAAATGACGCATGCGGCCGCGGGCACTGGGGCCTTCGGTGGAGCTCCCTATGGAGCCACGAAGCGTGTGAGGGGTGTGCCGAAATGGGTGTGGGGGACGCATGCGGCCGCGGGCACTGGGGCCTTCGGTGGAGCTCCCTATGGAACCACGAAACGTGTGAGGGGTGTGCCGAAATGGGTGTTGATGATGATGATGATGGGAGGGGGGAGGAGGCAGCGGGAGGAAGGAAGGAGAACGCGGGGCACCGTCTCTTCAAAACGAGGACCCAACACCACAGGATGGTTGGGAAAAGAACAAATCCAAGGGATTTCTGAAAAGCAATCCTGGGGCCATCCTCCGATCCTGCATGGGCGACTGGTTTGAAGCCGTACGCAAGAAAGGCTTCTTGGCCAAAAACGGCCAAGGACCTCTCTTGCGCAGGCAAGTTGTAGCCACGCAGGTCAGTCTTGTGCCAAGATCTACAAGGTCAATCTACACGAGCGCCCAGGGTCACCATCATCATCATCGTCATCAACACCATCATCATAACTTATGACTAGCATCACCTTCTCCGGGAAAATCGTTGATTATCCCCGCCAGACCCCCGAACTTTATTATTCCTGAGTGATAGTCATCCGGTGCACTCGGTTATCCGCACGCACGGGGCCAGGCGATGGCAAGCACTAGCTGTCCGGCTGCAAACGAGGAAGACATGGGCGAAGCGCGGACGCAGAGGGAGGAAAACAGAGGCCTCCTTCGCTGGTTCGGAGTAGATGGGGTCGGAGGATCGCGCCGCATCGCCGATGCATCGTCGATGCATCGGCGATGCACGGCGACACACCGGCGATGCATCGTCGACGTCGGCGATGCATCGGCGACGCCGGCGTGAAGCAAGTCGGGCTCCGCATCGAGCCGCATCGCCGATGCATCGGCGATGCGGCGCGATCCTCCCACCCCATCGATTCCGACCGCATCTATAGACGAGCGCGTTTCACTACTCGCAAAGGAACTACTCGCAAATGGCCTGGATCCGCAGCGGAGGATCTACGAGAAAATAACATCAAAGCAGGCATGTGTTTTTCTCTGACGTTTGCGAGTAGGCACTTTGCGAGTAGTGGAACGCGCTCGGTGAATCTAGGAGGCCCAGAGAAGAGGAGGGAGATCACTCACAGCGTGAAGGACATCGGCTGGAGTGGCCGGGCGGCCAGCCTGCGCTGACGCAGCCTGGCAGTGGATGCCAGGCGGCGCCGCGGCCACACCCGAGGGGCGGAGACACAGGCTGCACGGCGAGAAGGAAGCCACGTCGAATAAGAACCAGACACACAACGATGTACGAACAGACGTAGGTTCACATAAAAATGCTGCGTCGCACGTGCCGCGTTCCATGTCCCCCCTCTGCGCCCCCCGACCCCCCCCAAAAAAGCGCCGTGTAAGAACCAGCAACACAACGCTGTACGAACAGATGTAGGCTCGCAAATAAAAACCTACTGCGTCGCACGTGCCGCGTTCCGTGTCCCCCCCTCGGACCCCCCCGACCCCCCCCAAAGCGCAGCGAATGATTCGCGCGGCAGCATAACGTCATATTTCACCATGCGGGTGAGATCAGGGCCCTGTTAGCATCGGCTCCCCATTGCCACCACGTCACGCAGAAGGACTGCCTTCCAGAGCTTCAAGGCGTCAACGCACCAACACACCGAAATCATCGATGTCCGAAAGGTCATCCGTCTCCCATCCAACTGGGCCACGATGACATCGGGGTCCCCGCTCCTGATCAGTGCGCTCCCGGAAGCTGTCCTTGGGGAAGGCCGTGAAGCCTGAATACTCCGCCAGCTCCGACAGCGCCTGGATGCCTGAGTGCTTCTTGCCGTCGCCCATGATCCTCTCGGGGCCGTCAAGGTCACAGGAAGGCCAGATCACAGCCACCCCAGGAGAGGGGGAAGCGAGAGGAAAGAAGGAACGGGAGAGCTGCGGCTGAGAAGAAGAAGACCAAACTGCCTACTCACACCCAGTCATCCTCCGATATGATTTCTGCCATCCGCGGCACCAGAGTCCCCGACCCATTCCCCTCGGGTGTTCTTGCGCCCCAGATCCATCTTTGATGGTCCCAGAGCCCAAGCACGGGCCCTGGGGGCCGAACTCGAGGAAGCTCGCCTGGATTGGAAAACACAGATCGTCGGATATCCGGACCTGGGCACGTTCGACGGTCCGCATGGTTTTTCTGGAATCGGCGCTGGCACTGTCCCCCTGGCGGCGCTGGGAGCGCGCCATGGGGGGAGGGCGGCTGGGTTGGCGCCGCCAGAGAGGCCGCTCCTGTCGCGCCAGATCCACAAATCCACGCCGGGCTCCGAAAGCTCATGCTTGTGTCGGTGGCTTGGCTGCCCCGATGCGCAACACGCAACAGGTAACTAGCGTGTTGATAGGAAGCTCAACGCGCAGACTGAAGACGTAGGCATGACGCGATGCGTTCGCCAAAACGTGGGCCACGCCGCTGAGCCCACACGCAACGTACTGACACGGGCTTTCGAAGCTCCGGACGTCTTACGTTTCAGAACGTGCGTATGCCGAGGCAGCGAGGGTCGGCGGTTGATGGGATTGTTTTCCACCGACGCCAGCAGAAGTAGGAGGTGGAGGGGTACTCCTCCTCCTCCTCCTCCTCATCTTCCTCATCTTCTTCTTCTTCTTCCTCCTCCTCATCCTCCATCCCATTCCCCCCTCAAACTTAAGGTGGTGGTGGTGGTGGTGGTGGTGGTGGTGGTGGTGGTGGTGGAAAACAAGCCCATCAGTGTGAACGGTTTCCCCTTGGGCCGTAGGCGATCCGAGGAGGAGGAGGAGGAGGAGGAGGAGGAAGAGGAGGAGGAGGATGAGGAGGAGGAGGAGGAGGAAGGGGAGCGGGAGGAGGAGATGGAGGAGGTGGAGGAGGAGGAGGAGGAGATGGAGATGGAGATGGAGATGGAGGAGGAGGAGGAGGAGGAGGAGGAGGGAGGAGGAGGAGGAGGCGGAGGAGGAGCAGGAGGAGAGAGGAGCAGGAGGGGTCGCCTAAGCCCTTCGGAGCGACCCTCCAGTCAGTGGTCGCTGTTCGGGCGTTGGCTGCCCAGAGCTCCAGGTGGGGTAGCCGTCGATGTCCTTGTCCTCTTGGAGCAGAGGCCGACCGTCCTGGAATTCCTGCAGGCCTGCCGCGACCCGTCCCTTAGAACAGAAGGACCTCCGAACAACAACAACAACCACAACAACAACAACAGCAACAACAACAACAACACCAACAACAACCACGGCAACAACAACAACAACAACAACAACAACACAAACAAACAAACACCAGCATCAACACCAACATCGGCACACACACAAACAACACCAACAGCACCAACATCATCAACATCAACAACAACACTTCCAACAACAGCAAACAACAAACCAACAGCAACACCACCAACACCAACACCAACACCACCACCACCATCAACAACAACAACAGCAGCAGCAACTTCAACTACATGTTACCCTCATGCGCGATGTTTCCACACGAAGCATGCAACCATCATGATAACCATCCGCATGATGGGGGACTCTTGTTCCATACTGGGGTCCGTTATTCCCGTTTCCCGATCTCCCGCCCAATGAGGTCTTGCAAACACCTCCCCCGAGGAATTTCAACATATCCCGCCTCGAGAACACATGCCCGCGCCTTGCTGCGCCGATGCGAGACCGCCAGCGAAACCCCAGCGAAGGGTAAAGCACAAGGAAGTATCGAACGACAGGATTGCCTTGGTGGGGATGGGGGCTGTCGGCGGTGCGACAAGGACCTGGCCCTGAATAGAAAGGGAGGACGTCTCGAGCAGGGCTGCTGTTGTTGCTGGGAGTGGCGCCAGTGCTGAAGAGAGTAGGGCGCTAGCCCAGCGTAAACCATAACGAAGTCTCGAGCGGGAACGCTGGTTTCGTTGGGACGGCGGCTTTCGGCGGCGAGGAGGAACAGCGCCTTGAATAAGAAAGGGGGAGGCATCGAGCGGGAGCCGTGGTTTTGTCGGGACGGGAGCTGTCGGCGGCGATGAACAGCACCGTCCCGAGGAAAAAGATAGGACATCTCGAGCGGGAGCGTTGTTCTTGCTGGGAGCGGCGCCAACTCAAACGAGAATAAGGCGCCAGCCCAGCGTAAAACGGAAGGAGATCTCGGGAGGGAACGCTGGTTTTGTTGGGGCGGCGGTTTTCGGCGGCGGGGAGGAACAGCGCCTTGAGCAAGAGGGGGGGAAACATCGAGCGGGAACCGTGGTTTTGTCGGGTCGGGAGTTGTCTGCGGCGAGGAACAGCACCGTCTTCAGGGACAAATGAGGAGCCTCGAGCGGGAGCGTTGTCCTTGCTGGGAGCGGCGCAAATTCAAAAGAGAGTTGGGCGCCAACCCAGCGTAAAACGGAAGGAGGCCTCGGGCGGGAGCGCTGGTTTTGTCGGGGCGGCGGTTTTCGGCGGCGAGGAAAAGCACCGCTTTGAGTAAAGAGGGGCGGAAGCCTCGAGCGGGAGCGTAGTGTTTGCTGGGGGCGGCGCCGATGAGAGAACGACTAGCGCGCCAGCCCAAGGTAAAACGGAAGGAAGTCTCGAGCGGGAACGCTGGTTTTGTTAGGACGGCGGCTTCCGGCGGCGAGCAAGAACACCAGCCCTGAGTAAAAAAGGAGGACGTCTCGAACAGGAGCGGTGTTGTTGTTGTTCTTGTTGTTGTTGTTGTTGTTGGGGCAGTTTTGAGGTCCCCCAAACCGCTCGGGCGTGAGCCTCATCGTCAATGAAAATATAGCTGGCACCTCGGCGATCGCGCCAGAGCGCCTATAACGGGTCCAACAATAATAAGTGTTTAGTAATTCACATTCAACAACAACAACAACAACAGCAACAGCAGCAGCAACAACAACAATAATTTTAAAACTGCTTGCCCTTATCTGTTTAAATGTCCAATGACGCGTACGTCCCAAACCCTCGATACCCGCCCTCTTCATCTTCGATCGAACCCCTCTTGGGGGGTATACCTTTCTTCCCTGCAGGCCGGGCCCCGGCAAGCGACGGGGCGGCCGCGGACCGTCGGCCTGGCCAGCGGCAGCGCTGATCGGCGGGGCGGCCGCGGACCGTCGACCCGACCCCAAGAGGGACGGACATGGGACCGACCACGACGACGACGACGACGACGACGACGACGACGACGACGACGACGACGACGACGACGACGACGACGACGACGACGACGACTACGTCGACGACGACGACGACGTCGACGACGACGACGAGCGAAAGCGAGAGCGAGAGAGAACGACAGCAGGGCCACGAATGCCACGAAGTAGGCCACGAAGGGCGACAGCGGGGACACGAAGGGAATGCGTATGGGGCCACGAAGATCGCGAACGAGCGGGGGCCACGAAAGGCAGATAATGCGGGGCCACAGAAGGCAACGATGGGGCCACTGAGGGTAGCAACTGGGCCACATAGGACAATAAGGGGGCCACAAACGGCGACAGCGGGGCCACGAAGGGCATGCATATAAGGCCACAGCGGGCGCGACTTCTGGGTACCTGGGTGTCGGGAGCGCGGCGCTTCAGCAAATTGCAAGAAATTCCCACGCAAACGGTGTTATTCTTCAGTGAATTGCAAGCAAGTCTCCAGCGACAGCGCGACTCCAGAGCGCCGGGAGAGCGATTCCTGAATAAATTGTAAGGGAGTCCCAAGCGAGAGCGCGATTCCTTAACAAAATGCGAGGGAGTCTCGGGCGGGAGCGGGGGTTCTAGCTAAATTGTGAGAAAACTGAAGCGGGAGCCGTTGTTGTTGTTGTTGTAACCCGGGGGTCAGGGGCACAGTTTGAACATCAAGATTTTCCCTGTCAAAAATCTGGGTGCGAGCATCGAGGGGCACACTTTGATTCAGAAAAAACAATATGCACTGGCAAGGGGGGATCAACAATACTCATTCTTCAGAAGTGAGAGTTCAACAACAACTTCAACAACAAAGCTGATACGTGATCTTGTCACGCGTTCACCGGGAAACTTGGTCAATGATTGTCCTTAAGGAACAACCCGCGACCTTCCCCCCGGGGTACGCACACACCCCGGCAACCAGCAACCTCGGGCTCCATTCCTCGCTTCGCTGTAACTTCGCTTGCTTCAGGTTGTGGACCCCTCCTTCGTGCAATGTTCCCATGTCTGCACCAGAAAAGCTCCGAAATCGATCGGCTCCTGTATGATCCTATAGGATCCTATAGGCATCCTATGGGGATCTCCTACAGGGACCCCATGCGATCCTATAGGATCCTATAGGGACCCTGTAGGGATCCGGTGGGGACTATATAGGGATCCCATGCGACCCTGTAGGAACCGATGGGGATCGTACAAAGATTGCTTAGGAATCCCATGCGACCCTGTAGGATCCGACTGAAGTCGTACAGGGATCGTTTAGGAATCCCTTGCGATCTTTTAGGGTACTACAACATTCCGAGAAGGATGCTATCGGACTCCCATGCGATCCCTCAGGATCCCATGGAGGTCCGATCGGGATCCTATGCGACCCTATAGGACCCGATGGGGAACCTATAGCTTCGTGAGGGAATTTTATGGGATCCCATAAGATCGTGTAGGATCCTATAAGGATCCTATGGGATCCTGTAGGGGTCATATGCGATCCTACAGGATCCCATGGGAATCGTAAGTGGGTTGTATGGGGATCCCATGCGATCCTATAGGATCTTGTTGGAGTCTTAGAAGGATCATATAAGAAACACATGCAATCCGATAGGATCGTCTAGGATTCCTATACGGATTGGATAGGAATCCCATGCGAGCCTATGGGATCCTATAAGGACTGTACAAGGGTCCCATGCGTTCCTGTAGGGTTCGATCGGATTCCTATAGGGATTGTATAGGAATCCCATGCAATCTAATAGGGTCTTATAGGAATCCGATACGGATTCTATGAGAGTCCCATTCGACCCTTTAGGGTCCTATAGGAACCGTATGGGGATTGTATGGGAGTCCCATGCGATCCTACAGGATCCTATACTAATCGTATACCGTCCTACAGAAAGTGTATGGTGATTTGTCGAAATCCCATGAGAAGCTATGGGAGCCTATGGGGATCGTATAGGGATTGTACCAGAATCCCATGCGATCCGATGAGATCCTATGGGAATCGTACAGGGCTTCCACGGGAAGCATGTAGGACCCTGTAAGGATCCCACATGATCCCTATGGGGTCTTAAAGGATCGTTAAACGATCTTCTATCGTCCCGACAGGATCCTTGTACGACCCTTTATGGGGTCCAATGGCATCTCTAGGGGTCCTATAGCATCCCT